TGAAACAGTCTGTCCCATAACTGAGATGGCTACTATGGGACTAAGGGTGGGCAGCATCTGCAGTGTGGATACACTGGATGGAGGGATGATTCATGTCCCAGGCTGCATGGAGCAGGATGACATGAGATTTCATCATGCTCCATAGAACAATGTGCAATTTAAAACATATGAATTGCTTATTTCTAGAATTTTCAACTTAATATTTTCAGTTCATGGTTGAACACAGGCAACTGAAACTGCAGAAAATTATACTGCAGGTAAGGGGGAACTACTACATATATACTCTCGTGTGTGTAGATACATATAGGTATAAATATATTTAAATCATGGTAAACTTTGGGTAAGTTTAAAGAAATACAAATAACTACGTATAATCAGAGATTTTCACATTTATACTTAAGTTACCAATGATTGCTTAATCACTGATCTTTCTTTTCTGACTAAAGTAGAAAACAATTCTCTGATCATTCTGAGATGCTACTTTGAATAAAAAGCTTGTGGGTTTGCATGCATTTGTTATATCATTTATTCATTCATTCACTCAACAAAACATAATTGAAAGTTTACCATCTGCTAACCATGGGCTAGATCCTGAGGACACAGTCCTGGCCTTCAAATTGCTTAGTATTTATTGTAGGGGAACAGACTGGAAATGGTGCATATTAAAAAGTGGAACCCACAGGTTTTTATAGAAGTGCAGAGAGGAGCACCAACTTCAGTCTGGTTGGGGAGGGGCCGGAAAATTCTTCCAAGTGTTATGATATGACATTTAAGTAGAATCTTGAAAGGTGAGTAAGAATTAGTCAGGCAGACGCAGGGGAGGGGAGAGGGACTTCCCAGCAAGGCATGAGAGAGGAAAAGGTGTCCTAGGAATGGTGAGAGATCTCATGGGCAGAGTAGGCATGCAGCGGTACATGGAGAGCAGAACCATGGAAGGCCTCATGAGTCTCATTAAGAGGCTGAAGTTTAACTTGAGGGCAATGAGGAAACTGTTGAGGAATTTGCAGCAGGAATGAAACACTGATGTTTTAGGAAAAATATGATCATGCCATTTGGAGGATGGATTGGAGAGGATGAGTCTGGTGGCTAGAGACCAACTGGAAGGCTACTGCGACCACAGGCAGAGGTGAGAGCCAACAGGAGACACAAAGTGTATACAGTGCTCTGGCTTCTGATTTCATGACAAATTGGCATGGCAATACTTAGTAGGTGAATCTCCTATTTTTTAATCATTTTCCTTGTGCTTGGTGTTTAGCATCTCTGTCTGATCTTGTGTTTCTTCCTGCATTGTTTTGATAGCCCTTTGCCTTACGCTGGAAGTCTGAATTTACAACTGCTCATGTGTGGGTATCATTTCCCCCACCTTTAGCATTGCGGTAGTCACATTGCATCCATTAAAAATAACCATTCACAGTCAAATTCAAAGAGACAGAGAGTAGAATAGTGGTTACTGGGGCCTAAGGAAAGCGGAGGACAGAGAGTTATTGTTTACTAGGTACATAGTTTCAGTTTGGGATGATGAAAAAGTTCTGGAGATGGACAGTGGTGATGGTTGTACAACAATGCAAAAGTAATTAATGTCCCTGAACTGTACACTCGAAAATAGTTAAAATGGTAAATTTTATATTACATATATTACCATGATAAAAAATAAATAAATAAAAGATTGAGAATTTCTGGAGTGAATCAACCAGGAAGCTTTCCCTCCTTCAGGACATTTTAGTTATGTGAGCTGACAAATTCCCCATGGTTTGCAGAAGTTAAATGTAAAATGTTCTGTTATTTGAACCATGAAGCACTAGAATAAAATCATCTTTAGAAAAAAATTAGTCCTATTTTCTATATTAAAAAATAGCCATCACCTGAAACTGAGGTTCAGGGAGGTCGACATCCTGCCAAATCACACAACTAGTGAACAGTGAACCAGGGATTCTAACCGAAGATCGTTTGGCTGAAAATTTTGTGCTGCCTCCTCATAGGCAAAACAAATCTCATCCAGTGAATGAATGGAATCTCCAAATATGTGGAGTGTGTTTTTCAATCTAAGCTATTTCTCTTGTCTTTGATGCAGTTAATTACTAACACTTATGTACAGACTCTGAATTTTCCAATAGTTAATAACAAGGCTCCTGCCAAAATCCACCATCACAAATTATTTGTAAAAGGACCACATGCTTTTATTTTCCATACTTAACTTTTAAATAAAAATAACATTTAAAACTTTGGAATGTTACCTCTTATATTCATAACAAATTCTGCTTTAAACTTTTTAACTCATTTTGAAGACCACATTGCATTTTATCTTCATTCTGGAATTTTTGCAACAGACTTTGATGAAAAGCATTTAAGCTATAATTTGATATAGCTTTTAAATAGAGCTTTATGAGATGTGATTACAAGCTGCTGTGACTATTTTTTAAAAACAGCAGAATTCAAATTAATATTGTTGACTTCAAAGCTGTCATTTTGGGAGACTGTAGCTAGTGATGTTCAGATTATTTATTTATTGGAACACATAGTAAAAACTTATTCAATACCAGACACTTGAAGGATTTTTGAAATTCCATTTACATATTTCTTCCAAAAACAATTAATGAGCTATGCAGGAAACTTATTACTTTATAGTCATACTTTTTTTTTTTTTTACTCCAACCAGAATTAAATGATTTGATCATCTATACCTCATTCAATAAAACTGGCTTCTAAAGACTTCAGACTATGACTAAAACTGAACTCCAACTGTAAAGGTTGAAAAATTGACAAAATTGAGGATATGCCAAGGATTCCTTTACATGCATGATATAACTACTTTGACAAGGTGAGTCTTTGAAAATGTCTGATCTTCCCATCTTAAATATACCTTTCTTCCTTCACTTGCTATTACCTTTCCCTGCATTGTTTGTCTTCGGGTGCTTATCACTACCTGGCATCTACCGGTCTCCCTCCCTCATAAAATGTGAGTTCCACCAGAGCACAGACTTGATCCATTTTTTCTGTTGCTGTATTCCCAATACTGAAATAATATGCACATAAAAGATGCTCCATAAAGAGTTTTTAAATAAATGAATAAAATAAAGATTTATAATACTTGACATAAAATGTTTTGCCTCAATTTCACAATTCCATAATTTAACGCAAGAATAAAGTTTAAATTTTGATGATTTGCAGTGCTATGTCTTCTGTTTCTACTATTATTATTTAATACATAGAGCTAAAGAGACCTTCTGGTTCAAGAGCAGTGTAGATTTTTTTTTTCTTCTTTAAAGTGATAATTCATAGTTGGGTTTAATTCTGCAGTTTTTCCATCTCTCTCTCTTTTTTTTTAACTATTTGATTGACATATACTTACAATTTTTGTACCTTAACTATATACCAGAGTGACAGGAAAGATGCAAAATACTGTAAGGCTACTCCATGTTCTCAGAAGCTAAAGATCTGCTTGGAAAAACAAGAACACAAGTATGAAGTACAAAAAGATCAGACGAGTGATGCTCCACAGAACCCCTTCTCAGAGAAAGGACAGTGGTCTGGGTTGGAGCTTCTGCGCAAGAGACGATTCAGGGCATTGAACACTGAAGAACGAGAAGAATATGGACATGTGTAGTGAAGCAGGAGAGAGCAGAGACAAGCCCCAGGGCAGCTCGTAAATATTCAGACTGGATTGGCCAGGGCTTGCGCACCAGGCAGGACAGCGGGAGCAGGGGGCAGGGACACAGGTCAGCCATTAGGAGTTTGTACGTGGGATGGAGAGGATGGAGAAGGTTGGGTCTCTCTAGTGGTGATGCCTGTGCACTTTGGCGCATACCATCACTGGGTAATAAAGCCCTATCATGTTCCATTTCTCTGTCTCTCTATTCCTTTCCTTTTGCTGGTTCATGAAAGATTCTTCTTTCATGGATCAAAAACCTGGATATGCCTCCGGGTAACATAAGGACCTATGGAGAAAAGGCCAACAAAGTAATGGGGTCCAAGCTGTGGCCACTGAAACCACTACACACTCCTGTCTTCCCCCCCCAACCCCCTGCGGCTCCTCCTTGACTCCCCTTCTTCTCATCATCTAAGTATTGCACACCAGGCTGGAGGTCTCTTGTTATCTTCAGCTTATACTCACTCCCTAAGTGATTTCTTCTAGTCTTATGCTTTAAATAGCCTCCCAGATTTATAACTCCAGCCCCAGTCCTGCTTGAAGTCCAGATCCGTGTATCCAACTGTTTGAATGTAGACATCTGTACCAGAGTGTCTGACAGGTATTTCAAACAAAATATTGATTGTCTCTGCCCCAAACTGCTCCTGTCAGCTCTATCTTCAAAATAGAAGGGATTTTCAAAAAGTTCGTGGAAAGATTCATATTATCTTTTAATTCCAGTTTCCACTAATTGTTTAAAGTACCCTCGTCTATACCAAACAGAAAGACTTTTCTGCGCCTACCCTGCTGCTATCACCCTAGTCCAAGCTACCACACCTTTTATTGCACTAAAGCAATATCTTCCCAACTGGTCTCCCTGCTGTTACTCTTGCCCCCATACTCTATGCTCCATGTAGCATCCATAGCAATCCCTTTAAGTCATGTGCCAGCTTTTGCCACATCCCTGCTTAAAACCTTTCAGCTTTGCTCTTCTGGGATACACCTGTGAAATGGCCCTTGCCTCAGTGCCTGTGCACTTGCTCTTCCCTCTTAGAATGTTCCTTCCCTCGCCCAATACTAGAGTGACTTGCTTGCTACCTTCGCCTAGGACCATTTTCCTTGCCCCCTATCTACAATGGCCTCCTTCCCTTCATCACATTTTACTCTCTTCCCTTTTTAAAAGTCTCTTTAAAAACAAAACAAACAAAAAACAAAATAAAAACAAGAAACCTATCTAGATATTAGAATATTTGTTTCTATTCTTATTGTCTGTTTTTACCACTGTAATGTAAGCTCCCTGAGGTCAGGGAATATTAATCGCTATATCCATAGTAACTAGAACAGTGCCTGGCACTGAGTAAATCTTTGTTTTTTTTTTTTTTTTTTTTTTTTTTTTTTTTTTTTTGGAAAACCACTCAAGTTAACCTTAAGGAAAATAATACTATCATGTTTAAGTTTTTAAAGCAATATTAATTAGAGGTATTATTGTACCTCTAATTTGACTCTAACGAAAGAGGGATCGCAACCCTCGGCGCTGCCCCCGTGCCTCGCTCAGCCAGTGAGCGGGAACCGGTCTGTATGTGGGATCCGAACCCTCGGCGGGAGCGCCTCTGCGCTTCCCAAGCGGCACACTAGCGCAGTGCGCCACCGGGCCGGCCGTAAATCTTTGTTGAGTG